ATAGAGGAATCGGGACCTCCTTCCTCCTGCCGGTGACCCCCTAGTGATAGGATCTATATAGAGGAATCGGGACCTCCTTTCTCCTGCCGGTGACCCCTCTAGTGATAGGATCTATATAGAGGAATCAGGACCTCCTTCCTCCTGCCGGTGACCCCTCTAGTGATAGGATCTATATAGAGGAATCGGGACCTCCTTCCTCCTGCCGGTGACCCCTCTAGTGATAGGATCTATATAGAGGAATCGGGACCTCCTTCCTCCTGCCGGTGACCCCTCTAGTGATATAAAGATCTATATAGAGGAATCAGGACCTCCTTCCTCCTGCCGGTGACCCCTCTAGTGATATAAAGATCTATATAGAGGAATCAGGACCTCCTTCCTCCTGCCGGTGACCCTCTAGTGATAGGATCTATATAGAGGAATCAGGACCTCCTTCCTCCTGCCGGTGACCCCTCTAGTGATATGTAGGTCTATATAGAGGAATCGGGACCTCCTTCCTCCTGCCGGTGACCCCTCTAGTGATAGGATCTATATAGAGGAATCGGGACCTCCTTCCTCCCTGCCGGTGACCCCTCTAGTGATAGGATCTATATAGAGGAATCGGGACCTCCTTCCTCCTGCCGGTGACCCCTCTAGTGATAGGATCTATATATAGAGGAATCAGGACCTCCTTCCTCCTGCCGGTGACCCCTCTAGTGATAGGAATCTATATAGAGGAATCGGGACCTTCTAGTTCCTCCTGCCAGGTGACCCTCTAGGTGATATAAAGATCTATAATGACCTCCTTCCTCCTGCCGGTGACCCCTCTAAGTGATAGGAATCTATATAGAGGAATCAGGACCTCCTTCCTCCTGCCGGTTGAACCCCTCTAGTGATATGTAGATCTATATAGAGGAATCAGGACCTCCTTCCTCCTGCCAGGTGACCCCTCTAGTGATAGGATCTATATAGAGGAATCAGGACCTCCTTCCTCCTGCTGGTGACCCCTCTAGTGATATAAAGATCTATATAGAGGAATCAGGACCTCCTTCCTCCTGCCGGTGACCCCTCTATTGATAGGATCTATATAGAGGAATCAAGACCTCCTTCCTCTTAGCTGGTGACCCCTCTAGTGATATAAAGATCTATATTAGAGGAATCAGGACCTCCTTCCTCCTGCCGGTGACCCCTCTCTAAGTGATATAAAGATCTATGTAGAGAATCAGGACCTCCTTCCTCCTGCCGGTGACCCCTCATAGTGATAGGATCTATATAGCGGAATCAGGACCTCCTTCCTTCCTGCCGATGACCCTCTAGTGATAGGATTCTATATAGAGGAATCAGGACCTCCTTCCTCCTGCCGGTGACCCCTCTAGTGATATAGATCTATATAGAGGAATCAGACCTCCTTCCTCCTGCCGGGTGACCCCTCTAGTGATAGGATCTATATAGAGGAATCCGGACCTTCCTTCCTCCTGCCGGTGACCCCCTAGTGATATATAGATCTATATAGAGGAATCAGGACCTCCTTCCTCCTGCCGGTGACCCCTCTAGTGATAGGATCTATATAGAGGAATCAGGACCGTCCTTCCCTCCTGCCGGTGACCCCTCTAGTGATAGGATCTATATAGAGGAATCAGGACCTCCTTAACCTCCTGCCGGTGACCCTCTGCAGTGATAGGATCTATATAGAGGAATCAGGACCTCCTTACCTCCTGCCGGTGACCCATCTCTAGTGATAGGATCTAAATATAGAGAATCAGACCTCCTTCCTCCCGCCGGTGACCCTCTAGTGATATATAGATCTTATAGATGGAATCAGGACATCCTTCCTCCTCTAAAATGCTGATATGTTGAAATCCGTGGGCAGAACAACTAGTTCCTCGTCAGGTCTCACCCTATACGGTTGGTTGTATACCCCTGATCAATAATAATGCCCCTGCGAAGGTCCATGTGAATGAGGTGGCCGAGTCCTAAGATTAAGGGCTCCGATTTCACTGACAAATTGCTTATTTTCTAGAAGACTAAAATCTGGTGCAAAAATACAATTGATTTTAAATGCTGCAATTTAGGTCACAGCGATAGGGAGAGAAGTCAGCGCTGGTCCCTAATAATGTCTGACACATTCTGCCTGGAATTGTCCTTTAAAATAAGTCCAAACCCCCAGAACATAAATGTGACGGCTAAGCACCCCCCATCTCCCCCACTTTCCTCATTCGCCATCCTATAGTATCGGCAAGGCGTTCTGTGTTTGTAACACCCCTTGGATGTGAGCAGTGATCAGGACAAGGTCTTGTCAGTGCCCAGGGCCAAGTCTGCCAAACTTTCACCCCCCCCTTCTGGGTCTCATTAATAACCCCTATTTCATTGCGTGTCAGGGAATACATTTATTAACTCCTAGCACTGGAATTATCCCCCCTGGGACTCCAAATGTTACCCAAAAAGAAGGATAGGACTTCTTACCACCAACAACACGGGGACAATATCATGCAAAAAAAAATTCTGTATTTTATTTTTCCACTTAGATTCAACCACTGCTCAAATCCGGACACTCCCCCCCCTTCCAGTCCGGACACTTTTCCCCCCTTCCAGTCCGGACGCTTTCCCCCCTTCCAGTCCCGGGACGCTTTCACCCCCTTCCCAGTCCGGACACTTTCCCCCCCTTCCAGTCTGGACACTTTCCCCCCCTTCCAGCTACCGCGAGTCACCCCACCTTCCAGTCCGGTACACGCTTTCCACCCCCCCATTCCGCAGACGCTTCTCAGTACCAGACCCACTTTTCCCCCCCTTCCAGTCTGGGGACACTTTCACCCCCCTTCCAGTCCGGGACCTTTCCCCCCCTTCCAGTCCGGAACTTCTTCCCCACTTCCAGTTCCCCCCCTTCCAGTTGTCTTGTCGGTATCCGGACACTTTCACCCCCTTCCACTTGTCAGTCCGGTACACTTTCCCCCCTTCCAGTCCGGACACTTTCCCCCCTTCCAGTCCGGACTCACTTTACGCCCCCCTTCAGTCCGGACACTTTGCCCCCCTTCAGTCCGGACACTTTCCCCCCCAGTTCCGGGTAGTACCAACGGGACACTTTCCCCCCCTTCCTGTCCGGACCAAAACTTTGCCCCCCTTCCAGTCCGGACACTTTCACCCCCTTCCAGTCCGGACACTTTCACCCCCCTTCCAGTCCGGACACTTTGCACCCCCTTCCAGTCCGGACACTTTCCCCCCCTTCCATTCCGGACACTTTGCCCCCCCCTTCCAGTCCGGACACTTTCCACCCCCTTCCAGTCCGGACACTTTCCCCCCCCTTCCGGACACTTTCCCCCCCTTCCAGTCCTGGACACTTTCCCCCCTTCCAGTCCGGACACTTTCCCCCCCTTTCCAGTCCGGACACTTTCACCCCCTTCCAGTCCTGGACACTTTCACCCCCTTCCACTCCGGACACTTTCCCCCCTTCCACTCCGGACGCTTTCCCCCCCCTTACCTCCCAGTCCGGACCGCTTTCCCCCCCTTCCAGTCCGGACGCTTTTCCCCCCTTCCCAGTCCGGACGCTTTCCCCCCCCTTTCAGTCCAGACACTTTCGCCCCCCTTCCAGTCGGACACTTTCCCCCCCCCCCCCCTTCACCCCCAGTCCAGTCCGGACACTTTCCCCCCCTTCCAGTCCGGACACTTTCCCCCCCTTCCTTCCGGACACTTCCCCTTTCCCCCCCTTCCTCGGACACTTTCCCCCCCTTCCATTCCGGACACTTTCCCCCCTCTTCCCGTCCGGATACTTCCCCCCCCCCCTTTCATGCCCCCCAGGCCAATTTTCATCTTTCAGCACTATCACACTTTGAATGACAATTGCGCGGTCATGCAACACTATACCCATAGCAATTTTTTTGAATTTTTTTGAGACAGATAAAGCTTTATTTGGTGGTATTTATTCACGCTGGGATTTTTATTTATTTTTTTGCTATATAAATGAAAAAGTCCACAAATTTTGAAAAAAAGTGTTTTTTCTTATAAAATTTTGCAAATAAATAATCTTTCTTCATAAATCTTGGCCAAAATGTATTCAGTTATCTTTTTAGTAAAAAACAAATAACCCAATTAGTTTATAACCAAAAATTATAGTTTTATCAAAAAATTTTTTTACATTTTAATTTTATTTTTTTATATTTTTTTTTAACATACTGTCACCCTAGCAGTACAGTGTCACCATGGTGACACTGTACTACTTGTGGAGGGTGATGAAGATTTTTGTTTTTTTTTTACACTGATTGCTTTTACACCCATAAAGGCTGTAAAAGCAATCATTTCGCCTTCTCTCTGGCTGAATTCCTGCAGCCATTGAGAAATACTGTGTGAGCTGTGATTGGTCACAGCTTGTCACATGGTACAAGGCTGTTGTGAATAGCCCTGTACCATGTGATCTCTGTGATCATTCACAGATTTCACTAGTAGTAAGCAATGATGTCAGAAGTGACATCTTGCTTACTACTATGCATGTGATCACGGATTGGCCAATCACTGATCACATGATCGGGACCTTGCACAGAGGTCCCGTACAATAATTGGTGTTCCTCCGGACACTGCGGGCACCGGATCAGGCAAAAAAAACCCCAGCAAAGCACGATCCAATCTCCTCCTGCAGGGGAAACATTCCTTCCTGACCCCCCGAGAGGCAATCGGATATTCCCTGGATCAACGTTCCCTATAAATGTTATATCCAGTTATATTCTGTGTATCCAAGAAAGAATCCAGGACTTTCCTCCAGCAATCCACTGAGCTGGCCACAACCAACTCTGGGGGAGTCTATTCCACATTCTCACAGCTCTTACTGTGAAGAAACCTTTCCGTGTTTGGAGATGACATTTCTTTTCCTCCAGACGTAATGACTGTTCTGAGCTCCCCTCAGGGTTGTGTGTTTGTCAGACATATTGTGATTTGACAGTGTTACACTTGTTCTTTTTATTTGAGTTTTAACCACTTCCCGTCTGGCCGCTGTATATAAATGGCCAGATGGGGGCAGTGCAGGGGCGAGTTGCCGTTCATAAACGACGCCCACCGTTTTGGACTGTGTGCGCTCACTGGGAGCGTGCGGGCACCGCGATCCGGTGCCGCCTGTGTCCGGACACAGATCGCTGTATGGAACCTCTGTGTGAGGTCCCGATCATGTGATCACTGATTGGCCATAAACAGGTGTAAGCAAGATGTCACTTCTGACATCATTGCTTACTACGTTTGAAATCTGTGAATGATCACAGAGGTCACATGGTACAGGGCCATTCACAACAGCCTTGTACCATGTGACAAGTTGTGACCAATCACAGCTCACACAGTATTTCTCAATGGCTGCAAGAATGCAGCCAGAGAGAAGGCGAAATGATTCCTCTTACAGCCTTTATGGGTGTAAAAGCAATAAGTGTAAAAAAAAAAAAAAAATCTTCATCACCCCCCACAAGTAGTACAGTGTCACCATGGTGATCCTACTGCTAGGGTGACAGTATGTAAAAAAAAATATAATAATAATATAAAAAAAAAATAAAATAAAAATGTAAAAAAATTGTTTTGAAAAATTATAATTTTTGGTTATAAACTAATTTGGGTTATTTTTTTTTACTAAAAAGATAACTGGATACATTTTGGCCAAGATTTATGAAGAAAGATAATTTATTTGCAAAATTTTATAAGAAAAACACTTTTTTTCAAAATTTTTGGACATTTTCATTTATATAGCAAAAAAAATAAATATCCCAGCGGTGAATAAATACCACCAAAATAAAGCTTTATCTGTCTCAAAAAAAATGCTAAAAAATTAATATGGGTACAGTGTTGCATGACCGCCGCAATTGTCATTCAAAGTGTGATAGCACTGAAAGCTGAAAATTGGCCTGGACTGGAAGGGGGGGAAAGTGTCCGGACTGGAAGGGGGGGGAAAGTGTCCGGACTGGAAGGGGGTGAAAGTGTCCGGACTGGAAGGGGGGGGGGGAAAGTGTCCGGACTGGAAGGGGGGGAAAGTGTCCAGACTGGAAGGGGGGGAAAGTGTCCGGACTGGAAGGGGGTGAAAGTGTCCGGACTGGAAGGGGAGGAAAGTGTCCGGACTGGAAAGGGGGGGAAAGTGTCCGGACTGGAAAGGGGGGGAAAGTGCCCGGACTGGAAAGGGGGGGAAAGTGTCCGGACTGGAAGGGGGGTGAAAGTGCCCGGACTGGAAGGGGGTGAAAGTGTCCAGACTGGAAGGGGGGGGGGAAAGTGTCCGGACTGGAAGGGGGGGGAAAGTGTCGGACTGGAAGGGGGGAAAGTGTCTGGACTGGAAGGGGGGAAAGTGTCCGGACTGGAAGGGGGGGAAAGTGCCCGGACTGGAAGGGGGGAAAGCGTCCTGACTGGAAGGGGGTGAAAGTGTCCGGACTTGAAGTGGTTAATGGTTGAACTGGATGGACTTGTGTCTTTTTTTCAGCCAGACTAACTATGTAACTATGTTACTATGTAACAGGCACTATATCTTTCACATTTATACAAATAGATCGCATGTAGACAATATAAAAAGCATGAAGTCGGTATGAGTCCTCTAGATTAGTGTCCACAATTTCTCCATACTCAGAAGTCAACACGTTTCACGAAGGTTTCTTGCTTCCTCAGGACTGGTTGGGTGGCCGTTGCGATGTCAGATACAGTATAACATTGATATAAATATACAATCTTCAGTGCATAGATTCTCATATATCACCATATGTTTTACATATCAATATATACATAGCATGCTTGTCTGACCAGGATATGTGGAGGAGATGGATGGTTAAAAAAAGGGGTCCTGGATCCAGCAGCACAAAAGGATAGGGAAGGGATCACCCCCTGGACGGACTAGTGAACGGACCACAGAGCTTACAGACTCAGATCTCTTGAAATCAACTAGATAAAAATACCAGATGTGGTATCATAGTCAGAAATATTATGTATGTTATCTCAAGGTGATAGATACTTCACATTCTCTGAGTTCCAACTCACCACACTGAGTTTGGGGTGGAGGAACTTGACTGTCCTGCACAGAGTCCTGACCTCAACCCATAGAACACCTTTGGGATGAATTAGGGTGGAGACTGCGAGCCAGGCCTCCTCCCCCGACATCAGTGCCTGACCTGACAAATGTGCTTCTGGAAGAATGGTCCAACCTTCCCATAGACACCCTCCTAAACCTTGTGGACGCCCTTCCCAGAAGAGTTGAAGCTGTTATACTGCAAAGGGCGGGGCCAACTCAATATTGAACCCTACGGACTAAGACTGGGGGGCCATTAAAGGTCATGTGTGGGGAAAGGGCGGGGCCAACTCAATACTGAACCCTACAGACTAAGACTGGGGGGCCATTAAAGGTCATGTGTGTAGAAAGGGCGGGGCCAACTCAATATTGAACCCTACGGACTAAGACTGGGAGGCCATTAAAGGTCATGGGGGTGTAAAGGCCGGTGGCCCAATACTTGGGGCAATATAGAGTGTATTTAAATATATATACAGTGTAGGAAATGCGTATTTGCTCCCCTCTGATGTTGAATGTTCGCCCCTCACACAGAAATGATCGGTCTAACAATGGAATGTTCGGTGTAACACTGAGAGACAGAATACAACAACAAATTCAGCAGAAATGCATCTGATGTTGTTGTACTGTGCCATGTATTGTCCCCCCCTCTATTGTACAGCGCTGAGCAAACCCTTTGGCGCTATATAAACTCGAAGTAATAATAATAATAATAATAACAAATGATGACTGATCTGCATGTTCATGAGGGAAAGAAGGATTTGATCCCCTTCACAAAACATGACTTAGTACTTGGTGGCAAATCCCTTGTTGGCAATCGCAGAGGTCAGACGTTTCCTGGAGTTGGCCCCCAGGTTCGCACACATCTCAGGAGGGATTTTGGCCCACTCCTCTTGGCAGATCCTCTCCAAGTCATTAAGGTTTGGTGCCTGACGTTTGGCAACTCGAACTTTCAGCTCCTTCCACAGATTTTCAATCAGATGAAGGTCTGGAGACTGGCTAGGCCACTCCAGGACCTTAATGTGCTTCTTCTTGAGCCGCTCCTTTGTTGCCTTGGCTGTGTGTTTTGGGTCATTGTCATGCTGGAACACCCATCCATGTCTCACAATTGAGATTTTGTTCTTGGGGTCATAGGCAGCATTTCTCCTCCTCCAAACACGGCGAGTTGAGTTGATGCCAAAGAGCTGGATTTTGGTCTCATCTGACCACAACACTTCCCACCAGTCCTCCTCTGCATCATTCAGATGTTCAGTGGCAAACTTCAGACGGGCCTGGACATGTGCTTTCTTGAGCAGAGGGACCTTGCGGGCACTGCAGGATTTCAGTCCTTGTCGGCGTAGTGTGGTTACCAATTGTTTTCTTGGTGACTGTGGTCCCAGCTGCCTGGAGATCATTGACAAGATCCTCACGTGTAGTTCTGGGATGATTCCTCACTGTTCTCATGATCATTGACACTCCACGAGGTGAGATCTTGCATGGTGCACCAGACCTAGGGAGACTGACACTTGTTTTGTGTTTCTTCCATTTGTGAATGATTGCACCAACTGTTGTCACCTTCTCACCAAGCTGCTTGGCCATAGTTTGGTAGCCCAGTCCAGCCTTGTGTAGGTCTACCATCTTGTCCCTGACATCCTTGGACAGCTCTTTGGTCTTTGCCGTGGTGGAGAGTTTGGAATCTGATGGTTTGATGCTCCTGTGGACAGGTGTCTTTTATACAGGTAACACAATGAGATTAGCAGCACTCCCTTTAACCACTTGCCGCCCAGCCACTGTAGAAATACGTTGGCAGGGTGGCACGGGTGGGCAAAAGTGCATTTTAAAACGCGCTTTTGCAAAACAGGTAGGGGGCACGCACAGGGCACGCACAAGGCACGCCGCCGCCCTACCTGCACCGCCGATCCCGGCCGCGGGTGTCAGTCGCTGGGTCACAGCCAGTCGTTACCGGCTGTGTCCCGGCGATTAGCGGAAATCACTGACAGAGAACAGGGCTGCAGTAGCTCTGCTTTCTGTCAGTACCCTGACAGCTTCTGACATGCTGATCAGGAGAGAAGAGTTTATCAGCGTGTCCCTGTGCAATACACACCCCCCGCCCCCAAGTAAAACACTCCCCTCACACAGTTAACCCTTTCAGTGAATAAAACCGTTAACCCCTTCCTCCCCAGTGCCATTAGTACAGTGTCAGTGTTTTTTTTTTGCACTGATCACTGTACTGGTGTCACTGGGGATGTCAGTGACCCCAAGTCAGTTCCCCCCCAGTGTTAGAATGTCCGCCGCAGTCCCGCCATAAATCGCTGATTGCCGCCATTATTAGTATAAAAACAAATTAAAAATCCGAGTATCTTTCCCGCCATTTGTAAACGCTATAACATTCACGTAAACCAATTAATTCACATGTATTCAGGTTTATTTTAGCAAAGATGTCGCAGAATGCATTTTGCGTGAAATTTATGACGAAATTTGATTTTTAAATTTTTTTTACTGGACATGTTTTATAGCAAAAAGACCAAAATATAGTTTTTTTTTTCTCAAAATTGTCAGCCTTTTTTTTTAAAGCGCAAAAAATAAAAAACGCACAGGGATCAAATACCACCGAAAGAAAGCTCTATTTGTGTGAAAAAAAGGCTGTAAATTTAATTTATGTACCATATTGTATGACCGCGCAATTGTCCGTTAAACTAGCGCAGCGCTGTATAGCAAAAAAATGGCGTAAATTGCAGCATCTATACCATAGTTTGTAGATGTTATAACCTCACACAAAGCAATCAATATACACTCATTTGGATTTTTTTTTACCAAAAACATGGAGCAGAATACATTTTGGCCTAAATTTATAACCAACTTTGAGATTACTATATATTTTTTATAGCTGAAAGTAAAAAAATATCGTTTTTCTTAAAAATTTTTGGTCTTTTTTTGTTTATAGCGTGAAAAATAAAAGGCGCACAGGTGATCAAATACCACCAAAAGAAAGCTCTATTTGTGTGAAAAAAAAGTAAATTTTGTTTGGGTGCAGCGTTGCATGACCGCGCAATTATCAGTTGAAATAGTGCAGCGCCGAATAGCAAAAAGAGGCGTGGTCATTAAGGGGGGTAAATCCTCAGGAGGGGGAGGGGTTAAGAGACTGCTTCTATTCACAGCTTGTTACCTGTATGAGAGACACCTGGGAGCCAGAAATCCTGCTGAATGATAGGGGATCAAATCCTTCTTTCCCTCATGAACATGCAGATCCGTCATCATTTGTTAGACGCATTTCTGCTGAATTTGTTGTTGTATTCTGTCTCTCAGTGTTACACCGAACATTCCATTGTTAGACCGATCATTTCTGTGTGAGGGGCGAACATTCCATTGTTAGACCGATCATTTCTGTGTGAGGGGCGAACATTCCATTGTTAGACCGATCATTTCTGTGTGAGGGGCGAACATTCCATTGTTAGACCGATCATTTCTGTGTGAGGGGCGAACATTCCATTGTTAGACCGATCATTTCTGTGTGAGGGGCGAACATTCCATTGTTAGACCGATCATTTCTGTGTGAGGGGCGAACATTCAGCATCGAGGTTGGAGCAAATTATTATTATACAGTATTTATAAAGCGCCAATAGTTGGCTCAGCGCTGTACATTACAAAGGGGGACAGAACATGTGACAGAACAATACCAATACAATGCAAAACATGAGGGGATCGAGGGCCCTGATCCTTGGAGCTTACAATCTAGGAGGGAGGGGATGGTGGTACAGGAGGAGATAGCTGTGGGGGATGGAGAGGTGGGAAGAGTGGAGGAGGTTGGCAGGTTAGCAGGGGGTGGGGTAGGCTTCCCTGAAGAGATGGGTGTTCAGGGTGTGCCTAAAGGAGAGGAGAGTAGGTGATAATCTGATGGGTTGGGGCAGGGAGTTCCAGAGGATGGGTGACACCCTGGAGAAGTCCTGGAGGCGGGTATGGGAGGAGGAGACCAGGGAACCAGAGAAAATGAGGTCTTGTGAGGAGCGGAGTGTGCGTGTTGGGTGGTACTTGGATATTAGGTTGGTGATGTAGTTTGGGGCAGTATGGTGGACGGCTTTGTACGTCAGTGTTAGGATTTTGATCCGTTGTGCAATCAGAAGCCAGTGGAGGGATTGGCAGAGAGGGGTGGGGGAGGACACTGAGTGGAGGCCAGTGGAGGGATTGGCAGAGAGGGGGGGGAGGACACTGAGTGGAGGCCAGTGGAGGGATTGGCAGAGGGGGGTGGAGGACACTGAATGGAGACCAGTGGAGGGATTGGCAGAGAGGGGTGGAGGACACTGAGAGTGGAGGCCAGTGGAGGGATTGGCAGAGGGGGGTGGAGGACACTGAGTGGAGGCCAGTGGAGGGATTGGCAGAGGGGGGTGGGAGGACACTGAGTGGAGGCCAGTGGTGGGATTGGCAGAGGGGGGTGGAGGACACTGAGTGGAGGCCAGTGGAGGGATTGGCAGAGGGGGGTGGAGGACACTGAGTGGAGGCCAGTGGAGGGATTGGCAGAGGGGGGTGGAGGACACTGAATGGAGGCCAGTGGAGGGATTGGCAGAGAGGGGGTGGAGGACACTGAGTGGAGGCCAGTGGAGGGATTGGCAGAGAGGGGTGGAGGACACTGAGTGGAGGCCAGTGGAGGGATTGGCAGAGGGGGGTGGAGGACACTGAATGGAGACCAGTGGAGGGATTGGCAGAGAGGGGGTGGAGGACACTGAGTGGAGGCCAGTGGAGGGATTGGCAGAGGGGGGGTGGAGGACACTGAGTGGAGGCCAGTGGAGGGATTGGCAGAGAGGGGGTGGAGGACACTGAGTGGAGGCCAGTGGTGGGATTGGCAGAGGGGGGTGGAGGACACTGAGTGGAGGCTAGTGGAGGGATTGGCAGAGGGGGGTGGAGGACACTGAGTGGAGGCCAGTGGAGGATTGGCAGAGGGGGGTGGCAGAAACGGAGCAGTTGGAAAGGTGAATGAGTCTGGCAGCCGTATTCAGGATGGACTGAAGCGGGGATAGCCAGCGGCGAGGCAGGCCAGTGAGGAGGGAGTTGCAGTAGTCGAGTCGTATGTTGTATGTATATATGTGTGTGTGTGTATATATATATATATATGCTGTAGATCTTCAAATGGTGTTAATGTTTGGAGGGGAGGTGACAACTGAATTGTCTAATAATGTTTTTAATTTGAAGGTATTTAAATATTTCTTGTTGCATTGTGTAAGTTTTCGAATGGTTGGAAAGCTCAGCGCTCCCATTAGGTATAGCAGGTTATAGATCCATTTGCATCGGATTGGATCCTTATATCCAAGAAGATGGGATTTTGGATGATCGTGGCTAATGGCGTGGAAGAGGATAAAAAGACAGATATTTTACATTGTCCTAGATCTGTAGGGAATGGCGAATACTGGGATTGAGGATTCTTTTTCAGAAATGCGGTGAGATCCCTATTAGTGTCTCATTTGATATGGAAGACGTTTTCCAGGGCTCCATAGTGGAGGATCGGGGATATTAGTTGGGCTCTTTGGGCTCCGCTTCTCCTTTCATAGCTCTGTCTTCATTTTATCAGTGAATTTAGCTGTTCGCCCTCAATAGTAACAAAGCTTCTGGTGCAATCCCTTTCATCTGAGGACTTTGTCCGCTGTAGTCTACTTCCAAAAGCTCATTCTGACAGAATTTAGACAAATATTCCCCGGAGTGGCTCAATTTACCACTGCGGAGATTTTAGCCGCGGTCAAGGGTCATCCTTGTGATACGGTGCCACATAAACCGTGCCTGCTTTCCATCCATCTCATGGCTCATTGGCACAGAGGTCTACACTAGTGGAGTCTTCGGGGATTCAATTAGACGCCGGAAAATGTGGAAACAGACTCTTCGGGAGAGCTTTTGGATTGCGGAAAAGATCAGTTTTATAGTGCGAGCCGCATTGCCGCCAGCCTTAGCTACAGAGTAAAACAGAAAGTGATAATGGGATGGCGGAATTATGGAAAATTCCCACTGGATCGGACCGCCATTCCGGCATCAAAAGGAGGTCGTTATTTGTTGGCTTTCTAAGGAAACCGCAGGTTCTGCATTGATGACGGCTCAGTCCATTCAGAATTATGATTCAGGAGGTCAGTACTCCAGTCCACCCCACTCTATGCTGTCTGTTATCTGGGAACCCCTGCTTTTCATGTAGGAGAGACATTCTCATCCCCCCCCCCCCCAGCAGTCTTATTATTTATTATTTTCACACACGGGAACATACAGCATGAACTGGTTTATTGAGGTTCCCGGGACCTGCTGATGCTGTGTACAAACATACAATATCACAGGAATACACTGAAAGTTAGTAATACTTAGTGTATCACTACCCCCTTATGAGTTGCTGATGTTTGGGGTCCCCCTATAGTCCGACATAGCCAGGCAACACGCATTTTCACATCCACTTGCATTCAGGAGTCAGTGACCAGTCCATGAGCTTGTTTTGAAGTTTTATTATGGGATTTAGAACTGGGAAGGGGTAAGGAGTGTATGGGATGCCCAAGGGAACGTAAAAACTGAGGACAACTTCCTGAACTATGTACAAGTCTTTACACAAAAATCCCCTTCGAGGAAAGCTAGACAGTATCTCCTTTTGTACCACCCTAGACCCCAGACGCTTCTTTATCTGGCTGCCTGGAGGAATCCCTGAGCAGCGGATCCAGTGCCTGTCCCGGGTGGTTGGTAATCTGGTTTTCCACCAGAGTGCCTCCTTCCCCCTATCAGGCCCAGGGGGTGCAAGTCTACTCACTGAGTCCTTCACTTCTGTTGCTGATGGGTCTGTAGCTGCTACCAGGCCTTTTAGCTGGGCCGCTCCTTCCCTGCATCACAGATGGTCCTCTCTTAGGGGCTGATGAAGTCCTGAGCTTTCCTCCTTCCAAGGTCCTCTGCCTGTAGGTGATCCGCTCTCCATCTGGGCCCCCTCCCAGGTTCCTACTTTCCAGCCTCACATCCTCCCCAAATCCTCTCCAACCACACCTCCCCCCCTACTGAGCAGGCTTGGTTACTCTTAAAGCCTATCCTGGCCTCTTGCCAAGCCTCCTGTTGAGGATTGACCAGGATTCTCCAAGAGTACAGACCAGCCACTCCTCAGATCCTCCCACTGCTTCTAGATCTTTCTCCAAAGTTCTAGAACGAAGGGAAATTCCAAAGGGCTGGTCTGCAGAGCCTTTCAGTTCTGACCCCAATTTGACCCCTGCTAGCTATCACACCCAGGCTGCTACTCAGCCCTAACAATTGGAGTCTAGCTCCCCCTAGCTGACTAGGAGGGCGCTACATTAGTGCCCAATATTTGTGCTATAGCAAAGAAAATATAGGCACTACACCAGGTGGTAAAGGTAAACTTAATATATTGTCACCCAACTAGACACACATAAAATGGATTAACAATGGTAATAACACAATTTAGCATACAGAGCGAATAACAGTGGAGACTAGACATAAGATAATGTTTGGTGTCCAGATCAGCAAAAAAACAGTAGCAAGGTCACCTCAAGTGCAGCTGTAAAGTTTAGTCAGAGCACATTTATGGTGGTGATGCTAGTCCTAGACCAACTGGGTATGCACTGTCCAAAAGAAAAATTAGGATGGTAGCAGAGGGGGCAGGGGAACAGAGGGGTTTTGCAGATTAATTATTATGGGAGGGGCAGCCCTTAGAGATATTCTTCTGCCGGCTATTGTTGGGGCCCTTTAGAAGCATTGGTGTCCTTAACAGCCTTAGTTAGCCCACATATAATATAGGTATGGTATAGGTTATGGTATCATCTTGGCACAGGTGCAAGGTAGATGTGATTCAGATATGGTAAAGGTTCCGTATATATAGGGTTGGTAGAGGTGCAGTCTAGGTTTGGAATAAGTGCAGTATGGGGGCGATATGGATTGGGAACACTTGGTGTCCTGCTCTCAGTGGCTCAGTCCCTGCTATCATCAATGGATGAATAGCCCTCTTCCTACTCCACAGGCCCTCTGCTGGCACCTCCTGGACTCACCCAACCCACACAGCCTGGCTCACACTGACAGTGGGCCCCGGCCCCGTAATGCTGCCTCCAGGAACCAGGAAACCATAGAAAGTCCAGGTTTCTCCAGACTATGATACCACTCTGGTTGAGCGCCACCTACAGTGGAGAAAAAAGACTGCACCTGTAGATTCCACCCCCCCATTTGACAGATGCTGTCCTTGGCATCACAACATAGTAAGATCAATAATAACAGGAGTAAAAGTGCATTAAGAGCATGACTAAGGCAGAACAACAAAAAGTTTTTGAATAAAAAACTGTTTGGAAAAAGGAATTCTCTGTGCGATCTTCTTTTACTACCCAATTCATATCCCCTAGAAGTCTATAACCCAAGAAGGATTTCAGCCCTTCTATTGCGTTATATACTGATTTATATAGCTATCCCTGCAAAATTGTTGAAGTGGATCTAAATCCAAAACTTTTTTTTTTTTTTTTTTGGTTTTGGATAGAGATGGGAAAGATTTGAAGAAACAAAGAAGAGTGAAGGCACAAAAAGGCCAAGCGGTCCATTCAATCTGCCCACCTTTCTTTGACCTTTTTTTGTCAGCGGATCGATCAGTGTTTCTCCAAAGTTTGTTTAAAGCCTAAATTTTTATTTAAAAAAATCAGCACAATGGACGGTTTCATTGAGAAGTGTCCCTTTTGCTGCTGGCTGCTGTTTTAGCTGAAATATGAAATCCTTTGTGAATTCCATCAGTAAAGTTTTGCAAATCTACTCACATGTATGGTCATTCCTTCCTTGGGATATAAAGATCTGTGGAATGCCATGTGGAGGCCTCTGGCATGGAGTGGAGCACAATATGGTGCAGGGTATAGCCTCAGCAGGAGGGGCAGTGTTCTAGCAGGACAGGAGTGGGGGCTCTTGGCTCCAACATCCAACCAATCACTAAGCCCCTCTTACATGTTCCTTCACTCCAGAAATATTTCTTCTCACTTACTGTTCATTCTACAGGACAGGAAGTGATGAGGAATCTCCCCAATGGAACACAAATAGAAGGAAAAAAATAAAACTGAGGGGTTTTAACCCTTCCTTAGTGTGTTGCAAATCTACTCACATGTGTGGTCATTCCTTCCTTGGATTACGATGATGTTGTTTGTCCATCGTGTTCGAAGAGGACTTCTAACAGGTATCTAACAGGACATCTAACAGGTAGTGGGCTGTCCATGGTGTGTCCGCAGGTGGCTGGCAAGGCCTATATGGGCATGAAATGTCCTGCCACATGTCGGGCAGACATATGTGGGCACCACTGTTGCAGCATTTGAGAGTTGGGGGATGTCAAGACTTGTGAGTGAATTGGATTAAAGTGCAGGAGAGGTGCGCATAGTCAGCCTCACTCTCTCTTCCCAGAGTCCTTCTTGCTCCAATGGCAGGACAAGAGCTGAGACAGTTGGAGATGGGCTGAGTGCAGTGGTTGACCAGGGCGCTTTTTGTGTCTTGCCGTGCTCTTAGTGTACCACATCACTTGCGGAGACCGCCTTCATGAACCTTGTCCTATTCTAGAAGGTTTCATCCACTCAATCCACCAGAATCTGTCTTCACATGCTTGGGACAGACAAGTCTCTATCAAACCGAAGGTCAATGACTCAATGGCAACTCCCAACCTGGATTGGCCAGCCTGTCGAAGCTGTGGCCCGGGGTGTGGCATGCTACAGCTACTAGGAGCCACAGGTGAGAGCTGAGTGACAGGTGGGGACCAAAAGGTGGACAAGCTTCCCTGAAAGAACACGACCTGCCCTTACACCAGAGGTGCTACCTCTCCCTGCACCCCCCCCCCCCTTGGGATATAAAGATCAATGG